GTGTGTGTGTGTGTGTGTGTGTGTGTGTGTGTGTGTGTGTGNTGTGTGTGTGTGTGTGTGTGTATACTGTTGCTTTTCAGAGAGAGTGGAAGGGAGAGAGGGAGGGGAAGAGAGAGAGAGAGAAACATTAATGTGGGAGAGACACATCAACTCGGTGCTCTAACTACCGAGCAACACTGGCCAGGGCTGCTTCCACATATTATCTCACCTTTCCAACCCTGCCAGGTAGATAGTGTATCCCCATTCTAAGTCTAGGGAAGCTCAATCCGAAGTTAAATTACTTGACCACCTAACTAACTGGCATCAAACCCATGTTTCTGTGATGCGAAGAAAAGCTCAATATATAGATTCTCTAATCCTTCCCTTCCCTTCCCTTCCCCATCTTTACCTGTACCTCCTGTCTTATATGTTAGGGTCTCAGGAGAAAGCAGAGAACACATTGGGTAATTGAGGCAAGTTTAATAAAGGGATTGTGTAGAAGGTGTGGCCAGGGTTAGGACAGAGCAACAAACGATGGTGCAACACCCTAGGGCTGAGTAAGAGCAATGCTGTTGCCTGGGCTGAAGAGAAGGAGCAGTTACGAGAAACTCGAGAGAGCCATCCACTCAGAGCTGTGGCCTCCGCTGTAGGAATGCAGCCAGCCTGCAAGGACTCCACGGGAGGAAGCCAGAGGAACACCTTCACTCTCCTACTCTCGAATCTACTGCCCTGTCTCTTACTGTCCACACCCAAACAAAAGCCAAAGAATAAAATGTCTGTTCGTGCATTGCAGGTAGTTGAGCCTGAGAAAGCACAGGTCAGAAAGAAACCTGGAGGGGCCAATAGAAAATGTCCAGCATCAGTTCTCTGCTGCTTTCAACTTAAGTGGACACTCAGAAGGATGAATTGGAAGGGACATGATTATATGGACATTAGAGAGCTATTTCTGGTACAGAGGATTTGTATGACTATAGAATGGAAATTTGAGGAGAAATACATTAGGCTCCAGCGCTCTTCATGTTTCTGGGTCATTGATGAAATCAGCATTTCAGGTAAGTGAGTAGAGGTCAGGAGAACTCAAGCAGAGTGAGTCATGCATTTTTGCTCCTCCCAGCCCAGGAGCACTTAGGTTCCCCTTTAGCCGCCTCTCCTTCCAGTCATTGCTGCTTCCTTTCCTTCCCACAATCCTTTCCCAAGGATCCTTACCAACCAGGACAGGAGCCATCGTTAGCTCAAACAGCTCTATATCAAGAGCTGGAATAAAGCTAGAGAATGGCTCCATAAGGGGAACATCATCAGGACCAGGAAGAGGAACAGTCTTGCTAATTTTCAAAAGACCTGAATCCCCAGCAAGGAGCTGCAGAGGGCTATAAGCAAGCAGAAGGTGAATGTGATTTTCACATGAGAATGAACAAGGAAGGATGGAGTGAGAGCAGGCATGGGAGCCACAGGACAGGAGGGGAGCTGAGTTTGCTGGGGCATGGTGACTGGAAGCCAGAATTGGGAGTGAACCTTGATTCAGCCTTGAGAGACAGGTTGTATCTGAAGAAAAGTAGGATCATGAGAGTTAAACAATAGAAATGGGAGGAAAGATATGTAGGATGGGGGAAAGGATAACAGAAGAAGCTATTTGGAATAGCCACAAGAAAATTTATGTGGAACAGTTTGCAAGTCTCAGCCCCTGTGCCCCTTCCCCACCCACATATGTATTTTTAATGTATTTAAACAGGGGGAAAATCAGGAAGAAAAAAAAAAAATGAAACCTTCGACTGGCCTCCTGCTGAGCCAGGTTTCCATTTTTGGACCAATAAATGGCTCTCTGAAGTAACCCTTTGGAGCTCCCTGGGCTGTCCTCTGCTTACAGGCTGAAGGTTGTAAGGGTCTGGATACCTCAGTTGTAAGGTGATAATATGTGCAGACAAGGAGATGAGGAACCACATCAAAGAGAAACCAGACTTTAGCAAATATACCAGAGCGGGGTGGGAGGTCCCTCAGAGAACAAGATACACCCAGGACATAACCCAAAGAGCTGCAGGCGAACTCTTGTGAGACAGTTTGTGCCACTTCGCCTCTCCCCTGAAGGACAGTTTCCCAGGGCCTTGCCTCCCTCATGACAGGACACTGTTCATTGCTACTGGCCCGGATAGACAGAATACAAGTACTGGCGGCCAGTTTGGGAGTGGTTCCGTGATGTGGGTGTGCCCCCCAGCCACATACCCTCACACTCCCCCACCGACCTAGGGGAGGAGCCTAGGGACGCTACCAAAGGGGAGGCAAAAGGGGTGCAGACAGGGGCTGTTCCCCCAGGCCCCAGTCTGTGGGGATGCTTAAAGTTTTCAATGATTTCCTTTTTATTTCAATTTTGTTCTGAGTTAATTAGCTTTAGATTTGTTGAAGGTCAAATACACAATGCATTCTACCTTTGCTATATATTTATCCATCCCACCTGCTACAGTTTCACTGTGTATCTTCAGAGAATCACCCTTTAAAATCTCTTCATGAGTTCCACAGTTTTCAAGTGGACACCGCAAGGCTCTCATCACTGTATTCTTCCATTTTATTTTCCTTCCCAATGAGCCATCTCTTAGCTATCTTGGCCTTCTGTGCCTAACGCTGGGGAAACACGTTCCTTGAGATGGAGGGGAAGAGAGAAACAGGAGTCCTAAGGCTGAAGCAGAGACAAAAAGTAAGGAGTTCGTGGTTCAGCTTCTGTGAAGCCAGCCCACCTCTCCTACCAGCCTCTGAACTCTGATCTCGAAAATGGGCAGGAGCCACAGACCATGGTATCAGGCCCTCCCTATGTAACTACTGCGTAGGTTCACGAAGAACCCTGGGAGACTCAGGAGGGGCTAGGAACTGGGGAAAGTTAGGGAGAACCATGACAACCACAGGGGGGCACTGCGTCTCCATGGGCTCTCCTGGAATGTCTAGGACCAACAAAGCAGAGAGGTCAGTCAAGGACAGCAAACCCCTCTCCCTTGCTCCCAGCAGAGAGCATCTCTCCCTCTACCTAACTCTTGGGCTTCTTATGCAGGGACATCTATAGGAGAAAGACACACGGTCACCACCCATTTCACACACTAGCCCCATGGCAGGTACATACACACACACTCACATTTTACACAGAAATGAGATTTTCTCCCTCCTCCGATTACACTGCTAACTTAACAGTGTTACCCGTGCAGTTGAATGTGCTGAGAAGACGCGCCTTCCCTGGCATAATGCACAGCAGCAGCTATTGCCAGTCAAGGCTCATGCTGGTTGGAGTTCTTTGCCTTTTCTTCACATTTTGTTTACCTAGGAGCCAGTTGTGCCAATGATTCCAATCATGCGGTTTCTTTTCTTTAGTGTGCCATTTAAGCGCCTCCTCCCTGTCCTGTGTGTGGTCACCCAACACCCTCACCCCTTCTGATCCCAGCCTACTGCATTTCAGATAGACTCGGTCCTGTGAGAGTGATGAAATGCCCAAGAATCCAGAGCATGCTCCATGCCCCACTTCCCCGCCAGCTTGTCAGCGTCAGACATAAGCTGCGTTAGTCGTCAGCTCCGTTTCACCGAGGAAAGTGTATAATTGCCCGTGGGGTTCCTATCACCAGGCAAATGACCTTGTACTATTCCATCTACAGTACCCTGGCCAGTAACACTATAAAGTGCCCTCTCATCTTTACTCCTTGTGCCCCAAGAGCCCAAGGGCCAGCCCGCAACAGCCACAAAATATCTGAAGCTCTCTTAATAATTATTGTTCATACTTGTTCAGAAGCTTCTCAGAGAACCACAGACATAGTCTAATTAATTCCCCAAATTCTAGGATTCATGTGGGAGGAGGAATTCCTGAGAGGAAATCCTGGTTGCTATGACTCACCTGAAAGAGTCTTCAGACAGAGATCAACTGAGCGACCCAATAACCCCTCTAGAAACAGCATGAGGCGTGGTCTGCTGATCGTATTGAACCACCTAAAATGGAATCTAGGTGACACCATGGAGGATCCTGCAGGAGGGTGGTCACAAGATGTCCTTGGGCACTTCAGTCATCTTTCTGTACTTTCTTCTTCAAGATTATGATGCTGATGACATCTCTGAAATCCTATGGTATTTCTCAATAACTGATAAGGAAGTCTTCTAAGGTCTAAGTAGCTCCTCTCCCAAAACTCGAAGTTACTATCAATATCAAGGACAGTACCATTCTGTTGAAAGGGGCCGGTGACTATGAAGTCACATTCTGTGATGTGCCTATGCTATGCAAGCCCCCTCCCATGGTTTATATCACTTGGAGAAGAGAATGTGAGACCTGGGCAGGGAGAAGGTAGGAAAGGGGCATGATGCAGACATACTGAGGCAAAGAATAATAATGGTGCTCAGATTCCTCTACAGTTTATTGTTACAGCAGAAGTTGTGGGAGACAGGAGAGCACCCTCCACACATAACACACTGTGGTCAGAGCCCCAAGGTAGCCCTTCCCACCCCTATGCCAAGCCCCAAGCAGCCGTGCCCCAGCTTGGCCCCCTCCCCACTCCCACTCTAGACAAACACGGTCTAGGCAGCTACCAAAGTTAGTGCAGCCAATGGCCCCAGGCCCCTTCCTATTGCCCCAGCTCCAGTCCTTCCCTCAAACTTATTTATTGCCTGACACCTCCCAGTCCAACTTCCATTCTCATACTGGATATTTCTATCACATCCTGAGGACCACTAACCCACCAGCAAGCCTCCCTGACACATTCATTTAGGCCCATATCCTTCAGAGACCTGAAGGGTTAAAGAGAAGCCATATCCGCTTTGGTGAATGGAGACCCAGCACCAAGTCCCTTACCCTTGCAATGGGATGACTAGGGAAAGTCTGGAGGAGGCACCATGGGCAACTACAATGACCTCTTATCCCTCACCTATGGACACCTAGATTAGGGAGAGGGAATGCATGCCCTCTCCACCTTAACAACAGATTGAGGGAGAGGGATCATTTAGGGGTCTGGGTCCCTAAGAGATATTAGGAAGCTCTCCCAGGAGCTGAGGGGTATCACAGGTTAGAGGTCAAGGTTAGGGTAGCAATCAAAGATCAAGATCATCTCCCCACAGGATCTGCCCATCTTCCCTTGCTCACTCTGGCCCAGTGTTCTATGCATCTCCTAGGTTAGTGCTAGGGGAGGTGCTGGCTGGGTCCCACACCAGGGCAACATGGGTCATTCAACAGGAGACCTCCATGGTGTGCCCTGGGGGCCCTGAGGGGAGAGTCCCAGACTCGCTGCTCTGGGACAGGGTTCGAGCACGGGACCGACCGCCATCAATGGATGCCGCACTGGTCAGGGAGGCTGTGCGAGACCGGGACAGGCGAGTCATGCAAGATGAGGCCACTGTGGAGACAGGAGGATAAGCAGTCAGTCAGAGAGGAGGTAAGGAAGAGAGGCTGGCAACTCAGACTGGGATGTGAGAGTTACAAACGGGGCCAGGGGGTCAATTAGCTTGATTGGCAGATTGTGGTAAGTCCAGAAATTAATCTAAAATGGTTCCTGCCTGGCCGGCCGTGGCTCAGCAGTTGAGTTTCGACCTAGGATCCAGGGGATCGGGGTTCAATTCCCGGTCAGGGCACATGCCCGGGGTTATGGGCTCGATCCCCAGTCAGGGGTATGCAGGACGTAACCGATCAATGACTCTCTCATCATTGATGTTTCTATATCTCTCTCTCCCTCTCCTTTCCTCTCTCTGAAATCATTAAAGATATATATAAAATAAATAAAAATTAAAAAATAAAATAAAATGGTCCCTCCCCTCAGTGGCCATCCCTCATCCTTGCAGCAATCCCTTGTCCCCATGACAGCCTCTGACCCCCATACTCACTGTAGCCCATGCCTTGCAGGAAGTACTTGAAGGCCTCAGTCAGCTTGCCTGGCTGAGGAAGTAAGATGAGGAGAGAGGGAGTCAGTGAGGTGAGGTTATGAGCTGAGCAGGATCCCAAGGCTGTGGCAGGTTGGGGATGGGATGTGTGGCAAAGGGTATAGTTCAGTGACACTAATATCCCATCCCGGATGGCTGGGGGTACTCACCTGAGTAAGCTGGGGCTGACCTCCGGAGTCGGCCATCTAGTCAGGAGAGAGCCACCCAGAAAAAGTGATACACACATGAATAAAGTGAGCCAGCCAGGAGATAGAAAGGGTCTCTCTTCCCTGCTTTTCCATTCCAGGCCCTTAGGGTTTTTTATTGTTTGTTTATTTCATCAACCCCACTTGCTCCCAGGCAGGACCCTAGAGGCCTAGCAGCTGAATCTAGGATTCAGTATATATGGCTCTGGACAGGGGGCCAGGAGTCAGGCTGGGCACAGAGTAGGGTTACTCACCTTGAGGAAAGAAGTCTGAGTGGGGTCCAGCTTTGAATTACATTCCACCTGGAGTAAGTAAGAAGCTGAATGAATGAGGTCATACTCCCTGTGGCCTCTCTCATCCAAGGGACCCAAGGACCCAGTCCCCAGTTCCTTTCCTATCAACTCCTACCCATTTCCTTCTTAAAATGAATCAATCTCGTATGCACCAGAGTTGCTCTCCGTGTCCTAAAAAGCTTGCCTCCTGGCAAAGTACCCCTCTAACCACCATCCTAGGACTCCAACCCTCCCTCACCCAACCCCAAATTCCCTACTGACCACTGCATCTTCATGGGGTGCTTGATCTCCTACCACCAGCATCACGGGGCACCTAGAGGCAAGGACCAGGGAGGAGGTAGTGAGCCCCTGGCACTCCCTCACCCATGTCTTCCCAGAAGAGCAGCCAGAAAATGTCTGGCTCCAAAGAGGAAACAGCCTTCTGAACCCCACCACCCCACCAAGAGGATTCAAAGGCAGAAGACCTAGAGGGTGGTGATTTGCTAAATGGGATGAAGTGAGAGGTAACAAGCAAACTCCCTGGCAAAAGACCCTCCTTCTAAAGGATATAAGCACCTAAGGAAGATCCAGGGAGAAAGACAAAGCTGTATCATTTAAAGTCTTACTTGAGGGTGATATCACCTCCACGCTCAAAGTTCAGGTCTCGGCGGCTAGAGAAGGGTTAAAAGAAATAGGAATTTTAGACAGGCAATCCTATCTATCCAAATATAAGCTATCTCTCCCATAAGGAAACTCCCTTCCTCCCAAAAAACTATAGCCAAATATCAGCGATTAAAAGTGGGAACCAAAGGGGAATGTGGTAGTCAGGCCTCAAGCACATCCCTGGTTAGAGGGTAGTGAAGGGAGAGGAAAGGCACAAGGACAGGTCATCATCTTACTTCTGGGAATCAAAACCTTCATGGGAAGTAAACAGAAGAAAGGGGGAGAGACAATTCCTCACAACTCTTCCCACTGGGTCGGTCCTGCAGCTGTCCCAGTTGCACACCAAATCCTGCCCTCCTTACACACCGTGTACTTTCGGACTTCCCTCTCCTCTCCGCTTCCTCATCACCCCCAGTCGCCACTTCTAAATTGCTTTCACATGCACATGCGAGTACACATACACACACTGCCACTCACTTGTTGTAGCTGTTCCAGTACAGTTCAATGTTCTCCAGGTTGGGTGCATGTGAAATGATATTTCTATACTTTTGTATCAACTCAGAATTTCCAGATAGCTCTTCCTGAAGGAAAGAAGAGGTAGAAAAATTTGGGTTAGGAGGAGAAGCCAACAGTCACTGGATGCAAAAAGGCACGCCTTCCCTTCCCAGATCCTGTTCCAGCTGAGGGAGTCACCCCAAGCATTCAAATCCCTGTTGGTCCCCTCTTTTTCCTCCATCTTCCACTTACCTGGCTGAAAAGATGTCCAAGTATCATCTCCGAAATGGAAGAGGTGAGGCCTGTTAGCTATGAGGAAAGGGCAGATGAGAAAGCTCAGAACATTATGGGGAAAAGAGACCCAGGCAAGTGACACAGCTTCTTTCCTGCCCTACGTCCCCCTCCTTGAAGTTCATAGGTCAATCAGTTATACTGGTAGAGCATAACTGGACCCATGCAAGGGAACCCCCAACCTAGATCTCAGCACACAGACCCTTCCAAACCTTGTGTGCTGCCCAGTCCATCCAACCCTTGGCATTGGGATCAATGTTGATGAGGACAAGTCCCTCGACTGTATCCTGGTGATTAAGCTGAAGGGCAGCAGAAGGAAGGCAAATCAGAGGCAGGGCAGGACCTCATCCCCTCCCCACTAAGTTCCACCCACTCTTAGGCTCCCATAAGGCCTCCCTCCCCACCCTCAGACCCAAGTCTTCCTGTCAAATACACACTAGTAAACAGCCTACCATGGAAGGTAGGCTACCATGAGCCTTGGACCTGCCTTTCCCTTATCTGGGGGTTTTTAATTCTTACAGCGTATCTTGACAAGATGTAGGCTCCAGCTCCAACACCAACTCCAATTATTGTGGAGAAACTGTGAAAGGGAAACGTATGTCTACTTGGTATTCAAAACTTTGCTCTCCAAACTCCTTACCCTCCTTCCTAAGGCCACAGGCACAAAGGACAGAACCCGGGGGCTTGCCAAGGAGCTAAAAACTGACACTGGTAGTCAGAGTAGGTCCTTGAAGTCTTTCTTCAGCTCCCTCTTGGACAGCTAGTGTCTTGAAAAGAAACACCCACCGACCAACCAGCAAGACACTGTTTTCCTAGGTAGCTCTTTGTCCATGCTCAATTTTCAGAAGCTAGTTCGACTTGTTCTGTTTTAATTCCTACTTCCTCTAGAGGAACTGAGAAGAAGGGAACTTGCAAGCAAGATGTAAAATAAAAGGCACAACTTCAGTGAACAACAGGAAGAATGGGGTTAAAGAGAGACAAGCATGTGAACCAGGGCTGTCTGGGACCCATGTCCAGAAAAAGCCAAGCCAAGGACAGAGCGCAGGAGTGCGTGCCGAGAAGGCCTCCCCTGGCTTTCTCTTTCTCCCACTCTCCCTTATCCACGGGGCTCCCAGTTCCCAGGTGTGTGTATAGAGGAGGGGGAGTGGGAGGAAGAGACAGGTCTATCTGGTTCCTCAGGGATTGTGTCACCCCTTCCTCTTCCTGTCTAGCTTTCTGATCCCTCCTCAGCCTGAGGCAGGGCTTCAAATAGCCCCTTCTTTTTTCTTTTCTCCATCCATCAGGGCTACTCAGCTGACTCAAGTCAGTTTTCCAAACCCACCCCTCTTCCTCTCACAATCAGGCTGGGAACATGGAAGAGGAAGGATATATCTAGGCCAGAAACCAAAACGTGCCCAGGAACCATGATGGACATAGGTGTTCTAAGGGCCACCTTGTGCTGGAAAGAGAAATCTGGATTGGAGGGACCCCCACACTTCTCACTTTAAGTACTGCAGGATGCAAGGGATCGTGTCCGCAAGCTGGTCCAGAGATGGGTACTGATATCTGGGGAAGAGATGAATGTTGGTCTTTTAACAGGAAAATACCAACCTGCCCCCATTGCCCCCACCTCAGGGTGTCCCGCTCATCTTCTTCCAGAATCACCACTGCCCTCCCTTTCCTCCTCCCTTGGTCCAATCTTCCCCATACCTGCCCTGTGCCTCATGATAATTTGATGATGAGGGAGGGAGCTAATTCTCACCCCACAGGGAACACAGGAGCCCCCTCTTCCATCCCAGGGGCATCCACGTGAACCCGCACGAAGTTCTGAATGATTTCCTGCATGTCCCCGAATTGAAACAGCGGCTGGAAGCAAGATTTATCTAAAGAGAATCCCCAATATCCCAACAATAGAATCAGACAGGGAAAAGTGTCCCCAAGTCAAAATCCACCCCCTTTCATGCCACAGTCAGACTAGGAGAGAACTTCTTTGTTTTTTCGTTTTTTCTTTTTTTAATATATTTTTATGGATGTCAGAGAGAGGAAGGGAGAGGGGGAGAGAGAAAAACATCAATGATGAGAGAGTCATTGATCGGCTACCTAGGAGAGAACTTCTTGACATGCCACATGGCTCCCTTCCTGAGCTTGAGGACCCTTACCCTTACGCTGGGGTTTTACCTTCCCCCCACCCAGTCTCTTCCCAGAAAGGAGTGGGAGGAGAAGTGAAGGTCCTTACAGTTGAGTCCCACATCATGGTAGGTGAGTATCGCTGGGCGTTTAGGTTTGGGGGTACCATAGACAGTAAAAGTGACAGAGCCATAAGGTGTCTCCACAGAGTGAGTCTGCAAGAAAACAGGTTACCATCAGGTAGGAGTTAGGCTGAGAGGAAAAGAGACAGGAAAAGGGCTTCCACAAAAGGCAGGGGGGTGACATGGGGAAGGGGCAGAGAGGAGAAGGGAACAAAGTATTAGAAATAGGATGAGAAAGAATTCAGTTTAGGTAAAACGACAGTGGAGATGATTTTGAGGGTGGAAAAGACTAATGAATGACTGAAGAGCATTAAGGAAATCTGAGAAGGGGGAATAAGGGAAGGAAGGAGAGAGATGGGGATGGGCAAGGACTGGAATAGAGGGAAAGGTAGCAGAGAGGAAGGACAGGTAGGAGGGCCTTTCTTTCCCTGGGGAGAGGAGAGCCATCCTCCCACCCTGGGACTGCCCCGAGCTGTTACCTGTCCCCGGTCTAGGAGGATTCGGGCAGCTAACTCAGCCTCCTGGAGAGAGACACACACAGACAGGTCCACACAGAAACACAGCCATGTAGAGCGGAGAGACAGACGGAGAGATAGACACAGATAGAGGCAGGTAAAGAGACCAGAGACAGAAAGATAACAAACAGAGACATGGAGAGGATTAAGATTAGTACAGTTACGTGACAAAGGCCTGGACTCCCAATTGTGGTATATGGGGAGAGAAACATGGGGAGTGGGGGAGAAGGTGGGAGTGTGGATTAGAATGAGATTATGGATTTGGAAAGGGAGGAGATGAGGGGGATGCTTGGAGGTCTGGAATGTGGGCCTAGGATTCAGAGGGTCTCTAGTAACCTTGGCCATCTCGGGTGTCTGCCCTGGCAACAGCGGCTTCTCCTCGGTGATCTGCACCTCCTGCAGCTCCGTCATGGTGGCCTGGCAGGGTGAGGAAACACCAAGACTGGGGAGGCTGCCTCCACACCCCCACATCTTCTCTAATACCTTCTGCCTCTCTCAGGACAGGGGAATAATGCAGGGCTCAGGGGGCCCCAGGAGCTGAAGATGACTCCAGGACACAGACAGCCTTTCCTGTCCCAGCTCCATGGCCAGGACACTGTGGGGAAGGGCTGTGTAAGAGGAACCAGGACAGCACTTCTCTTTAGAGTGGCACCCCCACTGCATCCCACACCTCCAGACCCCCGTTCCCTGTCCTGGATGGAAAACCAGGGTGGGGCAGCCATGCAGCTCAGGTTTCCCAGGCTATATTTAGGGGCCACCCCACACTCCCAATTAAGTAGGGGGTGAAACTAGTGGCTCAGTGACTGTATCCTCCAAACATACTAAGGGACAGGTAGAGAGAGTTCACAACTGACTCTGACCTTCAACTAAGGCTCCAATGTCAGCAGCTCAAAAGGAAAAGCGCTAAAAATGACCTGAGTAACATGGCCAAGAGAGAGCGGGGGAAACAAGAAAAGGGGGACAAGGGACACTGTGTCCAACTGACCCCATGTCTTCCTTCCTCCCAAGCCTCTCCCTCCCTCCCCATTGTGAATAAATTAGCAGACATTCAATATTAGGGGCGACTGAGGAGCAAAGCAGGCCTGCAGACTAGCATAGTAAAGAGCCTGCAGCTGGGGGTGGGGTCACTTACTGGGCTCTTATTGGCTGGACGCAGTGGGGTTAGGGGTCAGGGTTCTCACAGCTCCTGGCTCTGGGGTCTGAGAAAACAAGGCAATGAGGTGAATGACATGGGAGGCAGGCAGCCCCTGGGTCTCTCAGGGACATAAAACCTCAGCCAAGATCTAGATTACCCGGGTCACCAACCCTCCCCAAGTCCCTAAACCTCCCCAATCTCTACCCCTGGGTCTAGGGAACACGTCCTCTCGAGGTTTCAACTAGGAATCGGTGCGGGCCGCAGGGGCCGGCGGGCCGGCGGCAGCGCAGGTGTGGGTCCAGCTGGGGGAGGAGAGGAGGAAGTGCTGATGTGGAGGAAGGCGCGTGGCTCAGTCAGAGGCTCTGGATTCTAGTCCCCGCTCTGCCGCTACCGCTGTGACCTTGGCCCCACCAGTACCACTGCCTCAATTTCCTATTTGCAAACTAAAAGTGGGGGCTAGCGGATTCCCAGGATTTCTGACAGCTCCCGAGTGATATGAAGGTAGCAGAGCGTGACTATTTCCCTCCGCCATTTAAAAAAAGAACTTGAAAAGCCCCGTGGCTTAGCTCCTCTCCTCCATCCAGCCTCGGAGTGGGTCCCACGGCCGCAGAGAGGCAAGAAGGGCGGTCCCACAATCTCCTCCCGGCCTCCCCCGACGGATGACCCGAAAGGGCCGAGCGCCGGCTGGGAGCCGGGGTGGGAGGGACCGGACTGACCGGGCCCAGCACCCGGGACCTGTCCCTGCGAGTCCCTAGGCTGCCGGCCCTCGCGGGGACAGGCACCCCTCGGGGCGGGCGCGGAGCGCCCCGGGTCCTGCACACCACCTCGCGCACGTCCCAAGCACGCCCTGCCGCTCGCCGAGCCTCCGCCTTTGTGCGCAGCAGCCCGGCGCCGCCTCCCTGAAGGCCCCTTCCCGCACACGGCCGGCTCCCG